TTGGATGGATTTTGTTGCTGTAAGTTCACTGATCCTTTCTTCTGCTGAGTCTGACCGTCTGTTAATGCTATCCAGTGTATTTTTCATGTCATCACTGAAGCCTCACCTCTAGGAGTTCAATTAGATCTGTTTTAAAAAACACATCTTCCATAGGGCGCCTGGGTGGCTCAGTTGGTTGAGCAGCTAACTCTTGATTTTGGCTCCGGTCATGATCCCAACGTTGTGGGATCCAGCCCCATGTGGGATCCCAATCCAGCTGGGGATTCTCTCTCTCTCCCTCTGCCCCTCTCCCCCTGCTCCTGCTCTCAAATAAATTTTTAAAATGGAAAAAAAAACCCACTCAAACCCCACATCTTCTGTGCCTCTAACATGATCAGTTCTCCCTCTAGCTTATTGAACATATGGAAAACTGTTAAATTCACTCTTTGAATGCTCCTGTCTAGTAACTCTATCATTTCTGAGCTGGTTTTTTATTAATTTTGCTCCTCATCACGGGTCATATTTTCCTGATTCTTCATAGCCTGGTAATTTTTGATCAGCTGCCCTCAGGCATGTTACACTGCTGGGGGCTGGATGTTTTTGTGTTCCTATAAAATAGACTCAGCTTTGTTCTGGGACTCAGTCAAGGTATTTTGGAAATAGTTGATCCTTTTATATTTTACTTTTAAGCTTTGTTAAGTGGGACCAGGGCCAAGCCTAGGGCTGGTTTCCCATGACACTTACACACAATGTTTCTGAGAACTCTGCACCAAGTTCAAGTTCCCCAAATTCTGAGGTTTCTCACTCTGTGTGGTGGGAGGTGCTGCACTGTCAGCGCTCAGCTGAAGATGCACCGGGGAGGCTCTGCTGGTCTCTGGAGTCTTCTCTCTGTACAGCTCTGTCTCGGGGCCTCTGCCTGGAAAGCTCTAGCCGCTTGGGCCTTCCTGGACCCCTAGGTCCACCTCGTCAATTCAGAGGCAGCCATCCTCTGCCTGGGCTTCGGGCTGCAAGCTGGGCATGGCAGGACTTGCCTCACTGCTTTTCACTCTCAGGAACCACTGCCCTTCCCTCTGTGCCAAAGGCTTCAGTCCCCTTGTGTCATGTACTTCCTTGGCTTTGCCGTTTCCATATTGGAGGGTAAAATCATCCCCAGCCCCCCTTGGCCAGAAGCAGGAGTGTTTAGATCAGAGAACCGCAGGCTTGAGGCCCTCCAGGGTTCTTCTCTCCCTTTGCCATGACAACCAGAGACCCGGGAGATGGCCGGGGAGGGGTATGTGTGTGTGTGGGGGGGGTGTTGTTCTCTGGTGCCAGAGGAAGGAGCCTGCAGGACTCACACAGCTTTGGCAGGAAGGAGATCGGCTGTTTTAGCTGCTGAGACTTCAGGTTTGTTTGTTACTGCAGCAGAAACAGCCCATTCTGACCAAATGGGGTTTTTTAAGTATTACAGGAGACAGAGTCCCGTCGGATAGGAGCACATGGTACGTGAACAGAGCACACAGCAGCGCTCGGTCCACAGTATGTCCTACAAGGCCACACAAACCACACATCAGACTACGCTGGCCAGGGATGTGACTCCACAGTTGTCATTAATCTTAACTATGCTTCAGGCTTTCCTGTGCTGGCCGGACTCTGGGGAAATTGACAGAATGATGAGGGAAACAGCACAGACCCCTCCTTCTGGAGCTCACCAAAGAGCAGGAAATGCAGAGAGCAGCAAAGAGGCTCCCTGGCGAGCATTCAGTGTCATCACCGACTGAGGCGTGCCATGCCACAAGCACGCAGCCTATCAGCATGGGAAACGCTAGCTTCTGGAGGATTGCGGAAGGCTTCTCTGAGGAAGTGACATCTGAGCCGAGATCTGACACGCATGCAGATGTTAATCAGGTGCAGAGAACCCCCAGAGGGCAGTGCTGGACGGAGGCAGGGCAAGCCCCCGCAGGCCTGGAGCCACAGAGGATCGGGGTGGGGGTGCCTGGGCACCTCAGTCAGTCAGGCATCCGACTCCTGCTCAGGTCATGATCTTGCAGTTCGTGGGTTTGAGCCCCGCATTGGGCTCTGTGCTGACAGCTGGGAGCCTGGAGCTGCTTCAGATCCTGTGTCTCCTCCTCTCTCTGCCCCTTCCTTGCCTGTGCTCTGTCTCTCTCTCTCTCAAAAACAAATAAACATTAAAAAAAATTAGGGGTGCCTGGGTGGCTCAGTTAAGTGTAGGCTCAGGTCATAATCTCACCATTTGTGGGTTTGAACCCTGCATCGGGCTCTGTGCTGACAGCTCAGAGCCTGGAGCCTGCTTCAGATTCTGTCTCCCTCTCTCTGACCCTCCCCTCTTGTGCTCTGTCTCTTGCAAAAATAATTTTTAAAAAAAGGATCGGGTTGTGTGCAGACAGCACTGAGAATCCGCTGGAGGACACAGGACTCTGTGCATGGATGACACGATGGAAGGCATCCTTACAGGGGCCATTGAGGTGGCATGGAGAAGTGACTCCCGGGAACAGGGGTGGGGTGGAGGGGCTGGGTGGCCCCCGAGGGGGTTGTCCGCTGGGAAGCTGGAGTGGGGAACAGTTCCAGGTACGGCGAATCCTCACAGGTCCCTGACCACTCAGACGTCCACGTGGACACAGGGAGACATGCAGGTTGGCTCTGGCTGACTTCATGGACGGGGCCGTCAGCTGTGAGCGGACACAGTAGGAGAGGGGCGGCTTTGGGGCCGGGGGTCACAAACCCCACGGGCTAGATGAGCGGAGACATCCAGCACACCCATGTCCCCGCCCCCACATGTCCCCGCCCCCACCCCCACCCCAGCACAGTCAGCCTTGCTGATCTAGACAGTCCCCTCCCCTTCCCTCGCTATGCTGTGGCTCCATTTTGTGGCTGACACTCGGGAGAGGAGGGGAGCTGGGGGGTTCCGGCCAAGCTCCAGATTGTCACCCGAGCCGCGAGGTACCAGCCCCCGGGAGTGGAGCACCTCACGTGCAGCAGGCACCTCCTCTTTTCCCAGGCTCGTGTGCTGGGCAGGGCTCTCTGTGAAGACACAGGTTGGGTCTACTCCCCACCCATGGGACACCTTCCCCGTGGGGCTCCTTCCTCCGTGGGGCTCCCTCCTGATGGAAGGGGTACCTCCGTGCTCCCCCAGGTGTTGTCTGCAAACACCAGCTGCCTGCACCCGGAGACTGTGGGGAACAGGGCTGCCCCAGCTCCTCATCAGTCTCCTAGGGCCACTTCTGGATTATTCTGCCCGCGGCAGCACCACGCAGGCACGCACATTCGTCCCTGTCATTCCGGCACCAGGACCCCTTGGGTGTCGCTGCCCTCGGGTCCCCCTTTTCTATGGGAATTTGTTTTCAGGGCATGTGGAGGGACTATTCACAGATCGATGCTGTTAGTTTCCGGCACGTCATGTGGCCGTTAGCAGAGCAAATGGCTTCTGGGTGTCTGTGTGTCACAAAGCAGCACAGGAGGGACCAATCAGCCAAGTGTGTCTGCACGGGGACTAACCCCACCTCCGCTGAAGCGTGCGGAGAGGCTGCTTGTGCGAGAGAGGACGTGTCAGTCTGGCCCCTACAGGAAGGTGCTCACAATGTCCAATGTCAGCTGAATCAACTCTATTCACTGGCAGAATCAGCTGCTACTGGAAACTACCTAAAACTGTATGAAAGCATCTAGGACAGGCTCTCATCATCCAACCCCGAAAGACTGGGTGATACTTTAGGGGCTTCAGAACTTTAAAATGACTATCGTAACAAATGGGAACATACAATTTAATGTGTGATCAATAAAATAAGGCACGGTTCCTGGCCAGCTGTCTGAAGAAACGCCTCGCCCAAGTTTTCCCCTCTGGCTACTTCTCTTTCTCACGTCCGTTGTCTCCTGATCTTTGCCCAAGTTGTGACCCGCACCTTTTTTGTTGTCTGTATTTTAGATCCCTGTGAGAGCTTCTGATACCTCAGTGTCTCTGGGAACCTTTCAAATAATCCGGACAGTGAGCAGGTTCTGGGCTGGACAGAAATCAAGATGCGGTCGACGGCAGGGACAATTCTCCAAATACGCTGAGCATGTGGACCACTCAGAACAGGCAGTCTGAGCAGAGGGCCAGCAATGGAAACACACGGGTCACCGCACCTTTTATTTGTTATTATACAAGTCGATGGGACATGATATACACTCGACTTCGTGGAACAGTCTTAATGCCTTTCAAACCCCATGGGGAAGTCACTGAGACCGCCTCGTGCTGAGAAGCCAGAGCTTCATGCCTTCAGACGCTGTGGCCAGAAAGGACGCGCCAGGTCCGTGACCCTCCCTCCCGCAGCCGGGATTCTCCGAGGCGGTCTCCTGCCCGACAGAGTGAGGTGGCACTTGGCGCAGGAGGCGAGTCCGCGTAAGTGCCGCTCCAGGGACCCAGTCTCCTCCCGCCATGGGGCACACAGGTCCCGTTAACTGGCGGTGGCCTGGGATCCAGCTCTGTGAGTCACACCGTGAACGTGGCCCAGAACCACATACCTTTACAAGCCCGCAGGGCCACGGGAAGTTCTCGCGATCGCTTAACTTAGGACACGTGGCATGGACTCACGGAGCTGGGTGGCCATGGCGGCTTGATCTGATGCCCTACGGATACAGCTGCGCCCCTGGGTCGGTTAAAATATTAAATACTTCCCGTCAGTAAACAGTGACATGAGTGCACAACAATCTACAGTCAATGACTCTTTTGGTTGAGCGGTTTTTTTTTTTTTTTTTCCGCTTCCTAGCCTCTTCTAAATGCAAATTCATAGCAACTGCTCAGGACAACACAAGCCTATCTGGCCTCAGACAGTGACCCCAGGAAGACCAAGTATGTCTGCTGGACTCTCAGGAGCAAATCTGATTTTTGTGGGGCTCTAACCGGGTACTACATGAAGGATCGCTCCACATCTGTGTGGGGGAGCGCACGACGGGGCCGCACCAGGCCGCGCAGCCTACGCCGGGACCTTAACAACGCCCGATGCGTCCTTTCTCGAGGCACAAACACAATGTCTTTAAAAAAATAAAACTGTGATTTAAAAGGCCTTTATTTCACAGGGATGAGGGATAAGAGATAAAGGCTGAAAGAAGTTTAATCGTGTTTGTATTCTTCACTTGGTCAAAAAAAACTCCGTGATTTTTTTTTTTTTCCTAATACATCAGGGACCTTGGCTCTTGATGGCCCCTTGGGTATCGGGACGGCTTATATCTGGACAATGAGGACAGGATTTTAGAAAACACATCACTCCTAGCCCAAGTTCATGTGATGAAATTATTGTGTATAAAGCAGTTAATCATATACATAAATAACATAAAAATAATTATCATAAATTAAAAAGTCTAACGATCTCCTGCTATTGATTCCACTGCAGGCGGGAGACGGGAGTGTGACGGAGCTGTGTCGAAGATGCGGACTCCGGGGACCCTCTTGCGTGCTGCGTGGGGGACGGGTTTCCTTACTTCTAGGGGCACGTATTGCACGAAACGAACTCTAGCCCCGTCCTCGGCATCTCGCTGCTCAGAATGAAGATAAGAGCCGAGGCCGCTGCATTTGCAGAAGGGACGGTCCTTGGCCTCCCAGGCGGCGCTAATGCCTTGGCTTCAGATGTCCACCACTGATGCATCATCGTTCCTTCCAGACGGTCTCCCAAATAACACAGGGTGTGTGACAAAGAGCAATCAAGGCCACAGTAAGGCAGACTTTTCATTTCATTTTGCACAGCATTAAAAAGCATCAGGAGACTAAAAACTGTCCCTGTTTCCCCAACTGAGTGGCAGGCGGGTGTGAGCCTGGGCCACCGCCTCTGACACGCGTTCACGTGTGGGGGCATGTGTCCCGGGGATGCAGAGATGGCACGCTCGAAGGCCATACGTAAGGAGCGGACGCTTCCGCTCTCACGACCGCCCGGCAGGAAAGGGCGGCAGCCGTCCTTCAGAAACACCTGGACCCTTCCACTGTGAAGAGCCGAGCCCCTTCCAGGTTTTTACAGAAAATTGGTCTTGAAGCAAATCAACCTTTGGAATTCAGTTGGAACAGAAAGAAAATGTGAATTTCTTCGCTGTTCTTCGGCGGATTTGGCTGAGCCTCAGCCGTAATAAATATATTTGGATGGCGGAGCATCCTGAGCCGGCTCCGCGGGGGCCACCAGGGGGGACAGCACGGGACTTACTTGTCCTACACGGTGGCCTGTCCCTGGCGCTGGGGCAGCGGCGCAGAACTGGATGTGGACCGACGCTCCTACAGTGCAAACGACTTTAGCGCGTTAAAAATAAAAAACGACGATTAAGTCCCGGATACATAATATGTGCTCGAAATAAAGTTAAAAAAAAAATGAAAACCGATACTAAAAAGGAATCCGTTGTTATGTTACAAAGAGGCCTTTCAGGGCCGAGTCAGCGACCTCCGGGGACCCCTCACCCGTGACGAACTGAGGGGTGGGGTCCGCGGCCACGGGACGCCTCCTCACACGTCTCCAGCCCAACGAATTTGCCTCAACTCAAATTTCAAAGAAGAAAAATAAGCGTCACTTTAACTTCTATCTGCTCATTCGTCGGAAAGACTCAGAAGCGAGGCAAAAACGGCGTTTCCTTGCAGCGCGTGGCCCCGTGGGCAGCCGTTCTCTGTGCCGACGCAGCAGGTGGGGGGGAGGGGGGGCCGAAAGGACACCTGCGAGCCGCTTACGTTCCTCGTAACATACCACTCACCTCGCGCGCCCCGACCCCGCGTCCGTCAGGGGCGGCGGTGTGCCGGGCACGGGCCAGAACACTCAAGCGTGCACCTTCTGCCAGGGGTCACCCCCAGGCTCGCAGTCAGGTGCCGACGCTTTCCAGGAGGGTGGGTCTGGAGAGGATTCTGCGAAGCTGTCACCCTTACTTACATCGCAATGACGATTCTCTTCTCTCGGTTTGGTATCCAGCAAACAAGTCTCAGATGCAGACAAGAACACCTGTGTGCAGGGCCCCGTGTGAATTCTGGGCGCTTGGGCTCAGTAGCTATACATCTGCGGCTGGGGCTCGGCCGGCACCTGCGGCTGGGGCGCGGGGGGCTGGGACGCGGGCGGCTGGGGCGCCGGCATGACGTCGGCCTGGGGCACCGCCCGCCATGTAAGCGGGTGCTGCTCTCCGAGCTGGCTCCCCAAGGGCGTGATGGAGTTGACCAGGGTGGTCAGGTTGATGAAGTGCGCCACGGACTGCGGGTTTGAGGCTTCCGGTTGCGGGTGGATCTGGATGTCGTTCTGACGGTTGTGCAGCATGGCCGAGCCGCTGACCGTGTCAAAGGTCACGGTCAGAATGGAGTTGTCCAGCTGCAGCTGGCGCTCGGGGGTGGTCAGGTGCCCGACGGCCACAGGCTGCAGATTGGTAAACTGAGTCCCAGCAGCCGTGGTGATGGGGGTCACGGTGATGTTGGTCAAGCCAACGGAGCTCGATGGGGTGGTCACGTTTGGGTCTCCCAGCGTCACCACCACCTGCAAGAGTCACACATGACAGAAAACGGTCAGGAGTGCCCGCAAAGCAGACGGCCACCGAGCTTCACACGGCACTTCACGACAGAGGCCATCATGGCACGTGGGGTGACCCCACACCTGCCCAGACGGGGAGGCAACCATCTTGTGGTGAAAGATTAAACAGGGTTAATTTTGCCCTAGAAAAAAGAATTCTAGTGAAAGGGCGCAGCAGGACACAGACTCAATCAGGGGGCCCAGCGGCGAGGCCTGAGGACAGTATGTCCTGGGCTACAGGAGGCCGGGGAAAAGTAGTAATGAGGACAGAAGGTGCGGCCCGCCTGTCCCGGTCACTGCAGCCCCGCGCCGTGCTGTGGGTTAACGAGAACGCCGACCACGAAGCACTGTATGGAGGCGCAGGCGCACACAAGTTCAAGAGGAAGCAGAACAGGGGCGAACGGCCAAATAAACTCAAGACGTGCGCCATTGCAATCAGTACCCAAACCGGGCACCGGAGACACATTGATGGGAGATCTGGGAGCCTCCAAACCAAAGTGCTGGTGCTGAGCAGACTGGAGGCTTCCGGGAAAAGGCTGGCCTCTCACATCCCCCCCTGGAGTGGTAACCTCCATCCCTCCCTGGGGCTGGGGTCCCTGCAGCATCCCTCCCCGGGGGCAGGGAGTCTCTGCATCTCTGCAGGGGCGGGGCCCCACTTCCACAACGAACGACCACGTGGGGGCCACTCCTAACCTCCCAGGAACAGCCCAATCCCCAGCCAGGCGGGGGCGGCCGTCCCTCGCGCCCTCCGCAGTCACGTCTAGGTCTAAGCTGGGACGCGCTGCTGGCACGAGCTCCCGGGATTAATGCCACGTGAGCCATGGGCCACCATGGGGCCGCCCCCGTGTCAGGCGCGTTCACAGGAGCACGTGTGGGGCCGGCGACTGGTAGAAAGGGGGCGTGACCTGCTGGATGCTCTGCACCGCGGAGTCGGTCTCGTCCCCGACGCCGGACAGCACGGGCTCCTTCTCCGAGTACTCGCTGAAGGCAGCCTCCTCGGGCACCGGGGCCCCCGCAGCCTCGGCCTCCGGCTTCTGCTTCCTCTTGTGGGCTCTCCTGGCGGCTTTCCCGTGCTTGCCCTCCGCCAGCTCCTCCTGCTCCAGACTCAGCTCGGGCTGCGGAAACAGAAGGCCCAGCGACGTCCCGCTCACCGGGTCGCATCCCCAGACCAGCCACAGGGGCCCCTGCACCGCATGGACATCTCCCCAGGCCACCACGCTGCCACAGAAACAGTGACTGCGGTGTGAATGCTCACTTGCACCTTGAGGATTGGGGTGTGTTCCCACTGGGTTCACTTTCTTTTACGAAGCGATGAAAATGACACATAAGTCTTATTTTAAAAGGCCGCATTTTGTGCCGGAATGTGAACGGTGTTTCAGCCTGGTGAGCTCGGCCGAGGCTGCCATGCCTCTCACGGCCGTGCTCCCACCCCCCGGCTGAAGCAAGCGCACCAAAGAAACACTTGGATCATCAGGACGGGTTGGAGAGAACTTCATGGTCATCTCCTCTGGGGACAGCAATGGTGGCCAGCCATGCCGGGGACCTGTCCTGGGTCCGCTGGCACACTGTGACCGATTTCCTGAACCAGGCTGATGCCACGACTGGGCTCAGCATCACAGAGGCCACTGGGCGGCGGTGGCCGGCAAGGCTCTCCAGACTGGTCCCCGACCACGTCTCCTGGGCCGCTCATGCATCTAACACGACATGATGCTGCCCCGTGACAGACCCAGAGGAAGCCTGCCCGGGCCAGACCATCGTGGGATCGCCCTCGGAGGGGCTGGACGTGGGTCGCGGGCCTCTGGGGCCCCACAGGCCTTCCTGGGCTCACACACTACAACCCAGTAGTAAAACAGATGATCCTCTCTCGTATGGGTGGGCCTCATCCAATCAGTTGATGGCCTTAAGAGGAAAACCTGAGGTCCCCAAGGAAGAGGGACCTGTGCCTCCAGGCAGCCTTCAGACCCCAGCTGCAGCACAAACCCTCTCTGGGTCTCAGCCGCCCACCCAACCTACAGATTTAGGACTTACCACCTTCCATGACCACATGAGCCAATTCCTTAAAATCAACCTAAGTTTGTCTCTGCCCAGACACCCCCACCCCCTGCCAATACGGTTTCCTCCGGAGAACTTGAATATTACTGTCTGTTCTCTAGAATGAGATACATCAGTACTGAGAAAACTGAAGTCCTAGAAACATTACAGAAACTAGGAGACATTCCAAACAGCCTCGGGAGAGAGAACCGACTAGAAAACGAGAGATGCCTGTGAAAGGCAAGGCGGACTTGGGGGCCTGCCCAAAGGCTCCTCACAGCACCCGCGTGGGCCCCTCCGCCCCTCTCCCCGCCGCCCCTCGCGCCTGCCCGGTGCGCACCTGGACGATGCCGATGGAGGAGGCATCGATGGTGGTCGTCTCTGGGAGGTGGTCCAGGTCATCGATCCTCACGGCCAGGACCTACGGGTGGGCATGGCTGGTGAGCCCGGGGCCGCCGCCCCGGCAGCTGACCCGGTCGTCCTGCCCCGGCTCTTCCTTCCCTCACCCCCGTTTCCGCGCCTCTCCAGTTTCTGAGAGGGGGTTACACGCAGGGGTGGGAGGGGCACACCTGCCCGCGTGGCATCGCACACCCACTTCTCCCCCCACCGAGCATGGAGACTCTCCTTTCTGCCTCTTTTTGCCCCGCACCATACCCTCCCATAAGTGACTTTTCTGTCAATCTTCTGTTAGTTCAACCATGAGCAGAGCAGGGTTGGATACAAACAGCAAACCTGTCCCATGAACAATTACCAAAAATGAAACATTTCTACTTTAAACGCTGCTTTTGAACTTGACACAGGTATGGGAACTTCCTGTCAACTCTGTGATGAGGCAGCCCCTCGCCCCCACCTTCCCTCCATGAGCCACACTGCAGACCCCCATGCTGTCACCCACTGCCCCTGGGGCCACCATACCCCCACGGTTCAGGGGTGTCCTGCCCCCGATTCTCCTCCACAAGCCAGGTCACCTGCTACTGTGGTGACGGAGTGAATTAGATCCTATGTGGGACAGTGCGGCGTGAGTGTGGAGAGAACGGGGTCCCCAGGAAGGCCTGGTAAAGGGGAGTCCCAAGAGAAGGGAATGAGCGTGGAAAAACTACGTAAGATCGGGGACAACCATGAGTCTGTCTGAAGGCTTCTTTGCCCAAATGGCTTTGCAAGCACCTTTACGTTTTTGCCCAACTAGAGGAAAGTGAAAATTACAGACTATACACGGTTGGTGTGGCTGATTCAAGAAAGACAGCGGGGAACTGGGGTTCAGAGCCCAGGCTGGCCCTCCTCCGGAAGGACGGAACCCAGGGGGCCGCTGTGTGCTTAAGTCAACACGAACACTGACTGCGGCTCTGAAGAGACGAGCGTGACTCTCATCAGCACTGAGCACAGATCTAGACCGTGATGCTCGCAAAGGGCTGAGTAGAAGTCGCAAAGTGCCACTGACTTATCTCTACCACTGTCGCTGGTACCTCCACCACGACCATCACCATGACAACCCCAACCACCAGCACCACCCTGCACCATCACCATGACAGCCATCAATACCGCCGCCACCACCACTGCCATGGCCACTACCATCACCACCATCACCATCATCCCAACCCCACTGCCACCCCCTCCACCATCACCATGATACATACAACTGCCACCATCACCATCTCCATCGTCACAACTACCGTCATCGAGACCACCACCACCACGACCACCACCACCACCATGACCACTGTCACCACCACCACCACCACGACCACCGTCGTCACCACCACCACCACGACCACCGTCACCACCACCACCACCACCACCACCACGACCACCATCACCACCACCACCACCACCATCACCAACACCAACACCAACACTACCACCACCACCACCACCACCACCACCATCACCACCACCATCACCACTAAAGATACAGCTGTCACCACCACTGGCATCCCTGGTACTACGACCGCCTCCATCACCACCTCCTTGCTGACACACACACTGTCATGCAGCCCGGTCTCGGTGGCAGCACGAACAACCACAGCAAAGCCCACCCAGGGGTCCTCCCCCCGCCATTCTGTTTGGGGTCACCCCCTCCTCCACGTGCTGCGCTTCCTGCAACAACTTTACCTCGTCCACCTCCTACTCTCCCCTCTGTGTCCCACCCTAGACTGTCACGTTCGGGAGGGAGAGACACATCCTGTGTGGCTGGCTTCCCAGGGCTCCCTGGCAGCGGCTCGACATGTGTTTGGCCCACGGAGAACAGGCTGAAGCCTCGAGGAACAAGAGCCGGGAACAGAAGGGCCACCGCAGGGAACAGAAGAGCCGCGGCCGTACTTCCTCTGCCCTCTGGCAGTCGCCCTTCCGGGAGGCTTGCCTGGCCCGCGGTGGGCTTGCTCGGGTGGGCTGTGCGTAACGCCACCCCCACCTGAGAAGCAGGCACAGAAAGGAGACGCTGCACAGTGATCAGGTACTTAGGAAGTGATCTTTAGTCCCCGTAAAAGGACTCTCTGGACAAAAGCGTTCGCCGAGCGCCCCTCTGTGAACCAAAGTCTCTCTCTGCACCCAGCAGCCCCTGTCACACGCCCGGTCTGCGAAAACCCACCTCTGCACTCTTTGTTAGCCCCCGTAACTACATAAACTCATGCAGCAACAGAGAACTCGCTCACAGCCCAGACTCCTCACGTGGGCTGGGGAGGCTGCAGCGCCCACCCTGAGCCACCGGGATGTTGCCGTGGCCGACAGCTGTCAGCCAAGGAGACACCGACCCTCGGGCTCCTGCAACCCGACTGCTCTGCAAGGTGAAAGCCCTGGCCGGCCGCGCGCTGAAAGGGGAATGAAGTAGAGCTCGGGGGGGGATGGGGGGGTGTCCCATCCGCATAGGAAGAGCTCCAAAGGGCTCCCGGCGCTCAGGCTGGGGTCCTGAACCGGCAGCAGGGGGCCAGGCGAGGCTCCGGAAGGAAAAGAGACACTCACTGTCCCCAAACTAAGGCAGACAGTACTGTTGTGGCTGCAAAAGTAATTTCTGTTTATTAAAAGAAACTCTTACAGATGGAGAGAACATGAAGATAAGAAATCACCCATAACTTCAACTCCAGGAGACCACTGTACAATACTGTCTTCTCTTCTGCGCTGATCGCTTATTTTATTATTTTACTTTTTAAATTTTATTTCATTTGTTTTGAGAGAAAGAGAGCAAGGGAGAGAGCCTGGTCGGGTGAGGGGCAGAGATGGGGAGAGAGAGAGGCCCAAGCAGGCTCTGTGCTGTCAGCGTGGAGCCCGACGCGGGGCTCGATCCCACGAATTGTGAGATCATGAGCTGACTGAAACCAGGAATCGGACGCTTACCCACGTGAGCCCCCCAGGCGCCCCGATCACTTACTTTGCACAGGTGAGCACTCATAGGCAGAACCAGTACCGTACACACTATACATGTATATCATGTACACAACGTATCCTTCTTCTTTACGAGGGCTATTTGCAACTGTATTTAGAATTCTCTGTGAGCCTGTTCACAGGAGCCAAGCCCCTTGCTACGCTATCAGGAACTTAGCCACACTTCTCCTGCTGCAATCCCTATCAAAATAGCACCGGAACAATACCGTCCCGCCACCTCCCAGGGGCGCATCCGCTGGCCACAGTGCTCGACGCGTCCCAGCCAGCACGGCCATCTTCCATCTAAAATGCTCCTGCTCACCCAAGACGCGAAGGAAGGCAGTTTCAGTTAACATCTGCATTCCCGGGATTCGGTGGAGCTGAATGGTCTGTTGTGGGTTTGAACCTCATAGATTTCCTCTCCACACGTATGCTCAGTTCTTCATACATGATAGCCCCCTTGCTGAGAGGCCATCAGTACATACCAACAGCTTACACCTGCTGGTGACAGGCCTGCCTCTCACGTATTTCCAGTCCGCCCTCTGCTGACCCTGTCGGCCTAGGGAAGTTCTAAGTGGCACGCTGTTCAGAGTGTCAAATCTACAGATGTTTGTGTTCGTGACATTTTTCGCTGATCTTACACTTATAAAGTCTTCCCCCGGAGTGATCTGATACCTCTTCACCTGCATTTGTTTCTAGTTCTGTTTTTCAGTTAACTTTCAACAAGATACTAGCAAATCGAAACCAACAGGACATTAAAAGAACTCTTCCCCACTATCAAGTGGGTCTCATTCCTGGGCTGTCGAGGTGGTTCGATATTTGTGAATCTGCCAACATGACACGTCACATTAATAAAACCATATGATCCCTAAGAACCGTACAATCCTCTCAATAGATGCAGAGGAAGCATCTGACAAAATACAGCATCCGTTCTTGATAAAAACCCAAGGGGCGCCTGGGTGGCTTAGTCGGTTAAGCAGTTAAGCGTCCAACTTTCGCTTAGGTCATGATCTCGCGGTTGGTGGGTTCGAGCCCCGCGTCGGGCTCTGTGCTGACTGCCAGCTCAGAGCCTGGAGCCTGTTTCAGTCTGTGACTCCCTCTCTCTCTGACCCTCCCCTGCTCACACTGTCTCTCTCTCTCTCTCCTAGAAATAAAAACAAAACAAAACCAAAAAAACCCTTGACAGGTAGGGAGAGATGGAACATACCTCAACATCATTAAGATCATATAGGAAAGACCCACAACTAATATCCTCAATAGGGAAAAACCGAGAGCCTTTCCTCTACGATCAGGAACGAGAAGACAAGGATGTCCGCTGTCACCATTACGATGTAACACGGTGCTACACATCCCAGCCTCAGCAGACAACAAAAAATAAAAGGCATCCAAATCGGCAATGAAGAAATCAAGCTTTCACTATTTGCAGACAATGTAATACTCTATGTAGAAAACCCAAAAGACACGCCCAAGAAACTTCTAGAATTAACACCTGAATTTCGTAAAGTAGCGGGATATAAAATGAGGCACAGAAATCTGATGTATTTCTATACACCGATAACAAAGCAGTAGAAAAAGAAATCAGGGAATTGATCCCATTTATAACTGGACCCGGAACAATAAGATACTTAGGAATAAACCTAACCAACGAAGTAAAAGAGCTCTACTACGAAAACTCTAGAAAGCTTACAAAAAGAAGTGAAGAAGACACAAAGAAATGGAAAGACATTCCATGCTCACGGATAGGAGAAACAAATATTGTTAAAATGTTGATACTACCCAAAGCAATCTACACATTCAGTGCAATCCCTATCAAAATACCACCAGCATTTTTTTACAAAGCTAGAACAAACAATCCTAAAATGTGTACAGAACTATAAAAACCCTGAATAGCCAAAGCAATCCTGAAAAAGAAAACCAAAGCTAGAGGCATCACAATTCTGGACTTCAAGCTGTAATCATTAAGACAGTATGGTACTGGCACAAAAACAGACACATAGATCAATGCAACAGAATACAAAAACCAGAAATGAACTCACAACTACATGGCCAACGAATTTTGAGCAAAGCAAGAAAGAATACCCACTGGAAAAACGACAGTCTCTTCAGCAAATGGTGCTGGGAAAACGGGACAGCAACATGCAGATGAATGAACTTGGACCACTTGCTTACACCACACACAAAAAGAAACTCAAAATGGATGAAAGACCTAAATGTGAGACAGGAAACCATCAAAATCCTAGAGGAGAAAGCAGGCAAAAACCTCTTTGACTTTGGCCACAGCATCTTCTTATTAGACATGTCTCCTGAGGCAAGGGAAACATAAGCAAAAATGAACTACTGGGGCCTCATCAAGACTAAAAACTTTTGCACAGAGAAGGAAACAATTAACAAAACTAAAAGGTGACTGACAGAATGGGAGAATATATTTGCTAACGATATACCAGATAAAGGGTTAGTACCCAAGATCTATAAAAACTTATCAAACTCAACACCCCAAAAAACAAATAACCCAGTTAAGAAATGGACAGAAGACATGAATAGACACTTTTCCAAAGAAAATATCCAGAGGGCCAACAGACACATGAAAAGATGCTCAACATCACTCATCATCAGGGAAACACAAATCAAAAACCACCATGAGATACCACCTCACACCTGTCAGAATGGCTAAAATTAACAACTCAGGAAACAAAAGGTGTTGGTGAGGATGCGGAGAAATGGGAACCCTCTTGCACTACTGGTAGGAGTGCAAACTGGCACTGCTACTCTGGAAAACACTGTGGGGGTTCCTCAAAAAGTTAACAATAAAACTACCCTACAGCCCAGTAATTGCACTACTCGGTATTTACGCAAAGGATACAAAATTACAGATTGGAAGGGGCACACACACCCCACTGTTCATAGCAGCACTATCAACAGTAGCCAAACCGCGAAAAGAGCCCAAATGTCCACTGACTGATGAATGGACAAAGAAGGCGTGGTGTGTATATACACTGTTACTTAACCATCAGAAGGAATGAAATCTTGCATTTGCAATGACGGGGATGGAGACAGAATGTATAATGCTAAGTGAAACAAGTCAGTCAAAGAAAGATACACCGTATGATTTCACTCCTATGTGGAATTTAACAAAACATGAACACATGGGAAGGGGGGGAAGACAGACGGAAACATCTACAAGAGAGTGTGAAGGAGAAAACGCTGAGGGTTGATGGAGGGAAGGGGAATATGAAGGAGGGTGCTGGTCGTGCTGAGCACTGGATGTTGTACTGAGTGAGGAATCATTTATTCTACTCCTAAAAACAATATCACACTGTATGTTAACTAGAATTTAAATAAAAATCTGAAAAACAAACAGGCAAATGATGTAAACACGCCAGACCCTCCTTGGGAATGAGAGCCCAGGCGAGCCAGTGTCCGCAGGCGCGCATGCCGCTGCTCCCTCCAGCCAACACCACGCCCGGCCCCACGCCACCTGGAGACCCCCACCCGCATCCTGGACCGGCCTCTCTGGGAGGGACGGAGGGCGGGGAACAGCGTGGGCTCCAGCCCTGCTGGAATCCCAGTGAGAACACAATCTATAGTTAACCTTAGCGGGGCACCCGGTGGCTCAGGCGGTTGAATTCCCAACTCTGGTTTTCAGCTCAGGTCACGACCTCATGGGCGCGGTGGGATCGAGACCTGGCTGGGCTCTGTGCTGACAGTGCGGAGCCTGCCTGGGATCCTCTCTCTCTGCCCCTCCCCCCGCTTGCTATCTCTTTCTCAAAATAAATAAATAGACAAATCAATTTTTTAAAAATTTAAAATGTCAGCAAAAAATATGTTAGAGTCTATTTATTCCTTTATTCGCTCCCCGCCTCCCAGGTGCAGGCACTGCACGTCAGAGGGGAAGGAAGACCCCGGCCCTGCCTCAAGCATTGTGGCTCCACTGAGAGGGAGATGGATCCCCGAGTCGGTGCCGTGGGGTCTCCGGGCAGGGGCAGCGAGCACCGGGTAGGGGGAGGGGGTGGGGTGGGGGTCCCCGGGCAGGGGCGGGGTCTCACCTCGGGGTGCTTGCGCCGCATGTGCCTGCTCATGGACGCCCTGGTGGACACCTTGGTCCCGCACAGCTGGCAGCTCTGCGCCTCCACCTTGTCGTGGGTGAGCTGCACGTGCTTCTGCAGCATGTACTCGGTGACGTACTTCTTGTCGCACACGGAGCACGTCCACTGCTTGCCCACTGGTCACACGCACGGGAGAAGAAGACAGGTGCGGGGCATGAGCGGGTCGCCCCACGGCCACAGCACAGGCGAGGTGGGGGCCGCGGGGTGGAGCGCGGCACGCGGGGCTGCTCCCGTTGGAAGGTTGGGGGGTGGGGACCGCTGGTGGGCTGTTTTAGGGGCCGCCCGTCTGCCCACGCCCGGCGCCCCGCTCACCCGTGTGGATGAGCTTGTGGGTCTCCATCGTGTTCCTCTCGCTGAATGTCTTCCCGCACAGCTCGCACATGAAATCTTTAATCCCTGCGGGGAGGGGAGGGCGCCTCAGGGGGCTTGACTTAACTCCTGGCCGGGCCCGCAGCGCACAGGCCGCAGGGGCAGGGAAACCGCAGGAGACCCGGGCAAACGCTCAGTCCACACCGCGGGGAGGAGCCAAGGCAGCTCGGCAAGGGCCTCCACGGTGAAAGCGGCAGGGTGCTTGGCCTGGACCCGCGGGCCGCCGTCCACTCCCAGCGGCAGAGAACATGCTGCTGGGGATCGGACGCTTCTGAAGCTTCCCAGGCGCCCCTCCTGCCCCGGAGAGCTCAGTCTGCGGGGATGGCCCGGCGGGGCGAGCGTGGGCGGACCCTACCCATCAGACTGGCACCCTGGACGCGGACAGAAAGGTGCACCGCCAGCACTTCTAGTAAACAAGGTTTTCCCCAGAAACGCAAACAAGGAAAGCGATTTTAGAGGCCCGCTGCGCTCGGTCCTGGGAGTCTGCGGAGTCCCTGTGTGCGCGGGGCCCGGGCTAGCCGAGGGACAGAGGCGACTATGTCCTGGTGGCCAGGGCGGCTGCAGGGCGAGACAGAACCCGAGGAGGCATGTGGCCCATTCCCGGGCAGTGAGCCAGCTTCCTGGAAAAGGGGCTCCCCAGGGAGAGCAGGGCACCCGGAATCGCCCAGGGACGGGCCAGCAGCCGCGCGGTGGCCTGGATGCTCTGGGCGTGGTGAGTGAGCCGGGCTGTGGGTGAGCCGGGCCAGACAGTGTGGGCTCCGAAACCCAGGTTAGGGAGGGCACAGGGAAGGAACTAGAGACTCCCCTGTTAGCTTCAGGCACAGAATCACCGTCACCAGGGGCACCTCTGAGCTCCCGCGCCCCCTGATTCTCACTCTCACACGCGCTTATCCACAGGTAAACGTTTTATGAGAAAGGAACCCGTGTTTGTTGCTAGAGAGGCTGTTTTCCCCCTGTCGTATCACAGATGTCTATGTAAACTGACACGTATACACCATCACTTTCCACCAGCGCACTGTTCTCTGTGGACGCACAGACACAGAGATGCCCTGTGCCTCCCGCCCCAGACAACACCATGATGGCCAGCGGCCCGCGTCCGAACCATCTCAGGCGGACATTGGGGGGCGCGGGGCTGGGGGGGGATGGAGACGGCCAGTGCAAGGCATGAACACTAAGGATTGGCAGATGGCACCGGACGTCCCCAAGGCGAGCCGTGCAGGACCCTGGGCTCCCGTGTGTGGGGACAGCGATGCACCGGCCAGAACGCCTGCAGGAGGGGACGGCCTGACAGCAGAGGCCGCCTGCCCACAGAGGACAGCGCTCAGAGAGCCGAGGACCGGGCTCCCTGCGAGCCGCAGATGGTGGTTACAATGGGCAGCGCCTCCCCTGCTCGCCCCGCCCCTGCCCACACCGCGCACTCACCCGTGTGCCGCTTGTAGTGCTTGAGCATGTTGACCTTCTGCGCGAACTTGCGATGGCACTCCTTGCACTCGTACTCCTTGATGCCTTTGTGCAGCTTCATGTGGTGGCGCAGCGCGTGCTTGGTCTTCATGCCTGCGGGGGTGGGGGCGGGGACTCAGCCAGCCCGCCTGGCCTGCCTCCAGAGATGCCCCGCACCTCTCCTGGGTGCCTCGGGGCCCTCCTCCGCCCTGTGCCCGCGCCACCGCAGCACCCCGCACACGAGACTCTCCATCGCAACACCTGCACCCCACCCTGGCCCCCCACCACAGCGCCGACACCGGGCCCTGCAAAGTGCCTGCACCCCACCCTGGGCCAAGATGCCCCTCGCAGCACCCACGCCACACCCCACAACTAGACACCCCCACAGTGCCCATGCCTGAGACCTGCAACAATTTCCACACTCTTCACTGTGCCCAGAGCCCCTCACGGGGCCTGAGTCCCACCCAGTGCCGAGACCCCCTGGAGTGCCTACGCCACACCCTGGACCTTCCACGGGGCCTGGGATCTGGGCCCTCGGGCAGGCACAGATCGTGATAGGCGCACAACGAGAGGAGGAGGAGGTCGGTACTTGGAGGGTAAATCCCGCGAAGGACCCCCTCCAGCAGTGCTGAGACTGGCAGTTACGCCCTCGGAGGTCCAGGCATGTCTGGACACCCCATCTCATCAGGGGCCTGCCCAGACCTGGGGGTCTGTGCTCAGAGCAACCACTGTGACACAACTGAGTCACCCACAGAGACGTGTGCAAGCCTGCCAGAGAGTTCCTGTAGATCCTGACGGTGCTAATGTTAACGGAGAGGAGGACTCAGTTCTCTGGACGTCAGATCCGTATGGTACATGCACGGACTTTTAATCTGCCTTTCGTTAAATGTAACAAAGTCAATCTTGGCTGAAGGTGAAATAAACTACAACCTCACTAACTTGGGCACTGAGAAGGGATGACCCTGGCACAGGGTGTGAATCACCAACGGGGAGGGGGGTCCTGGTACAGGGTGTGAATCAGCAGTGGGGGGGTCCTGGTACAGGGTGTAAATCAGCAGTGGGCGGGGTTCCAGCACAGGGTGTTCAGCAGCAGGTGGGGGGACCCTGGCACAGTTGTGAATGAGAAGTGAGGGTCTTGGTACAGGATGCCCTCTAGGTGGACAGTCTGAACAGGAACTGCGGGGGCCAGGGAAGCTGCGGGCAGCGATCACCGGGGAGCGGGTGCGCGGCGGCTCATAGCACAAGGCAGACGCGTGCACTCCTGCTGGCTACAGACTGATCTAGTCGCGAGCAGCGGACAGGTCACCGCTATCCCCGTCACACAGAAAAGGACCTGGGGAGGTCCTACGGAGCAGGGCAGCATCAGACCACCACCAGTGTGAACACAGTCCCCACCAGGTTACCTGGAAACTGCGTCCTGGGGATGGGGGAGGTGAGCCCCAGGCAGCTCTGGCTGGTACGCAACGCCAGGCCTGCACGATCCCTACACTGCATGCACCCAGCCTGGCTGAGCTGGGCCTGCGCGCACCCTGGGCCTTCCTGAACAGGCCAGCTCAGCCCCAGGGCTGCATGAACCCGGACCTGACTCACCCCAGGCCTGCATGCACCCTGGGCCTTCCTCAACAGGCCAGCTCAGCCCCAGGCCTGCATGAACCCAGACCTGACTCACCCCAGGCCTGTGTGATTGCTGAGCCTGCACGCACCCAGGCCTATATGAACATGGGCCTGCACCCACCCGGGCCTGTATGAACCCGAGCCTGCACCCACCCGGGCCTGTGTGAACCCGAGCCTGCACCCACCCGGGCCTGTGTGAACCCGAGCCTGCACCCACCCGGGCCTGTGTGAACCCGAGCCTGCACCCACCCGGGCCTGTGTGAACCCGAGCCTGCACCCACCCGGGCCTGTGTGAACCCGAGCCTGCACCCACCCGGGCCTGTGTGAACCCGAGCCTGCACCCACCCGGGCCTGTGTGAACCCGAGCCTGCACCCACCCGGGCCTGTGTGAACCCGAGCCTGCACCCACCCGGGCCTGTGTGAACCCGAGCCTGCACCCACCCGGGCCTGTGTGAACCCGAGCCTGCACCCACCCGGGCCTGTGTGAACCCGAGCCTGCACCCACCCGGGCCTGTGTGAACCCGAGCCTGCACCCACCCGGGCCTGTGTGAACCCGAGCCTGCACCCACCCGGGCCTGTGTGAACCCGAGCCTGCACCCACCCGGGCCTGTGTGAACCCGAGCCTGCACCCACCCGGGCCTGTGTGAACCCGAGCCTGCACCCACCCGGGCCTGTGTGAACCCGAGCCTGCACCCACCCGGGCCTGTGTGAACCCGAGCCTGCACCCACCCGGGCCTGTGTGAACCCGAGCCTGCACCCACCCGGGCCTGTGTGAACCCGAGCCTGCACCCACCCGGGCCTGTGTGAACCCGNGAACCCGAGCCGGCACCCACCCGGGCCTGTGTGAACCCGAGCCGGCACCCACCCGGGCCTGGCTGGGCTGGGAGAAGCCATGAGAACTGGCCCTCCGGGACCAGCAGAGGGAGCAGGAGCCTCCCAGGGGACGGTCCACCTAGAAAGGCTTCCAGGGCTACAGGACGGGAGACACGTGTGGGGCCAGCACTGACTTCGGAAGAGCGTTTTTCGCCTCATACACTATTTCCAGTTTCTCCAACAAAAACATCACATGCTCACAGTGAAAAGCTCCAGGCGATGAGAGGTGAGCCCCGAGGCTGCGGTCCGGCAGCTGTACAGGTCTCCCCGGCCCCCAGCACACTGCCGAGTGCGCTGCGGCCACGCGCAACGGGCCCTCCGCCGTGCGGTCGCTCCTGTCAGTGCCGCCATCTGATACTCGGCCGACACAGACGCGGCCGGTACGAGCTGCCACTGCGCTGCTTTCGGCAGTGACCACCACTGCCCCCGCCAGGGCGCAGTCCCGCCGCGGGCGCCAGAGGCACGGGGGAGGGCCACGTGGGAAGGGATGCAGAAAAGCAGGATAACGCAGAGACGGGGGAGAGGGCGCGGAAGAGGCCCGGATGCTGGCCCATCACGTGGGGCGTCGCGGGATTCCCTCAGAGGAAGCGCCTGAAAAAGTGATCTGGAGGAAGGGTCGGAGGGGCCCATAGCTACTTGGGGGAACAGCATTCCTGGTGGAGGGAACAGCCAGTGCAAAGTCCCTCAGCGTTTCAAGCTGTTCTCTGTCACAAACTGCTTCAGCGACAGTCTGACGTTACTTTTACACCTCAAATAGGTTTACGCCACAAATAGGCCTTTGTGCTATAAATTAAGAAGTTACTTTTCTAGCTGCGGCTAACAGTGCCCAACAGCCCACCCTGTGTGGCAATTTACACGCCACCTCCCCCCCACCAAGTCCACAGATGTGTCTGCCTCCTTCCGTTCACCAGTGCCGGCCGCTAGCCCAGGCTGTGCCGGGCACAGCGGCATCTCGGCTCTCACCCTCAAGGGGCCACCACCGAGGACATGAACGGAGGAGAGCCCCTGCCTCCTGTGTGCATCCAAAATGAACAGATCCTAAGTCACAAAGTGCCTTCGTGTCATAGGCCCAGAAGAGAAGTCACGACACAGCTCGCCCCCCATTCAGACCTCCCTCTGCAGCCAGCGTTAGCGACAAGTCATGCTTCTCCGTCCACCTTAAAAACATGTGTGAACAGCTCTAAGATGAACAGGCCAGATGAACTGCCACACAGTGGGGCTCTGATCGACTCTGTGTCGCAGCTACAACTTACTTTGGGGACGACGGCCATTTTTTAATAGGCCCAATTCTCAAGCCTGGGATGGGGGCTGGCCCTCTTTACATCCATAAATGCCTGGTGGTTTGCTCCACGCGGGCCACACGGCCGCCTCACCAAGGTCTGTCCCAAGAATGTCACGGTACATCAAGGGATCCTGAACAAGAAGTCTTCCTGCGTCCCCTGGCCCCTCCCGATCTGGGCACAGAAACTGTGGAGGGGGCCGGGGCTCACGCGACTTTTGCAGTCTCTCGCCTGCATAAATAGAGTCTTGCACTTTCAGAGAGAGATAGGAAGGAACACTATGCAAGAAGGCTTCCTGCAACATCACTTGTGGTGATAAAAAGTGACACGCAAAAAAGCCCTTAATATATAACTAAAGGGGTCTGGTTACAGGAATCCACGGGACGGAATCCTATCAGGGTTTTGAGAGAAAAATGAAGGCAGTATTGAGGTATTCTGACATGAAAACTCTATGAAGGACTTCCTGGTGAATACAAAGGCAGGGAAAAAACAGAGAAGCACAAGCGGTTGCTTGCATGTGGTTAAAGGCCGTGATCGGAAAGCGAAGTGACGACACCAATGAGTTGGTGGTGTGGGAGGTCACAGATGCGCCAGCCCAAGTGCCAACGGCAGCGCTCAGGAAAGCACTCGGAATTCATGGAGGAAATCACAAGACGAAGCATTAAACACGCTTCTAGTATGACTGCAGGACACGTGGCAAGATGTGGCCCTGCACCCATCCCTCCCCCCCCACCCCGCCAGGCCCTCCGGGGGACCCGGGTGTGGCTTCTCTCTGCCCCCTGGATGGAACGGCCCCAGCATTCCATCTGCGCCTCTGACTCTCCCCATCTCTGTCCTGCTCTACAAGGTCCCCCCCCCCCCCGCCCCCGCCAGCGAGCAGGGGGCAGGAAGTGGGGGAGGGGCTGGGAGAGCTATGGCATCACTAAGACAAGCACAGAAACTTCTAGAAGGTTCCTACAAAACAGAAACTGAGGTTCTCTTGAAGAGCGTTAACAGGTCTAAGGCAGAAGCAACCACTTTACCTTGTGTGCCAGTTTGTGTTACCGACGGAAAAAGGGAATCAGGTGCTGCCTTGCTTTTCCAACGGAGTCAGCGCCCTGCCCTTGCACAAAGTGACTTTGGAGGACAGACCAGACCTTGTCACCCCCAGCGAGGCAGACGGGGCCGGGGCCGGGAGAAGGGGAAACGGTCACGTGTGCTCTCTCTGCAGTTCATTCTCTCTAAGCTCTTAACACGAATCTCCCGGAAGTGCGCTAACGGGGTTACAGGGTGAGTGGGGTGTGAGACGTTCTGTCTTCTTCCTCCTTTTGTGTTTAATTCAAACAAGTGAAGGAGGAGCACCCAGTCCGGTCAGTTAAGTGGCTGGCCTCTGATTTCCACTCAGGTCGTGAGCTCACAGTGTGTGGGTGCGAACCTGCGCGGGCTCTGTGGTCACAGCGGGAGCGGGCCGGGGGCCCCCCTCCCCCCCTTCTCTGCTCACGCTGGTTCCCACTCTCTCAAAATAAATAATGAACTACGGAAAACCTTTATAGAACACAACACGTTTGGAAGACCTAAAGGCAAAGCAGTAGCCTGACGTGCCCGGTCTGTGGGGGCAGGGCGGACGCCTCACCCGCCCCACCCCTTCCACGCAGGGGTGCTTTGTTTCTCTAAACAGAACTGGGTTAAAAATCTACCGTGTCCTGCGATGACTTTTTTCTCATTTTACTTGCACATGTGAGGTCTTGTGTTAATAAGTTTCCTACTCCAGCAATTTCACCCGACGGAAGCCAAGGTCCCAGTCCCCACCGGTCACGACAATCCCGACTCACGCGGGAGGGTCCGCTCAGCCGCAGGGAAGCGCCCCCACGCGGCGCGCATGCGCGGAACCACAGCGGTGCTTACACTACTCTGGGGGCCAAACAACCGCTGCCTGCGCTGTCGCCCCTCTTTTACAGCGACTTCCTCGAGCCTGGTGCCCTGTGGCCTCCTGGGCCTCCCGGGCGGTAACCCTCCCTTAAACCCGGCGCCCCGCCCCCGCGGCGCCCCGCCCCCGCGGCGCCCCGCCCCCGCGGCGCCCCGCCCCCGCGGCGCCCCGCCCCCGCGGCGCCCCGCCCCCGCGGCGCCCCGCCCCCGCGGCGCCCCGCCCCCGCGGCGCCCCGCCCCCGCGGCGCCCCGCCCCCGCGGCGCCCCGCCCCCGCGGCGCCCCGCCCCCGCGGCGCCCCGCCCCCGCGGCGCCCCGCCCCCGCGGCGCCCCGCCCCCGCGGCGCCCCGCCCCCGCGGCGCCCCGCCCCCGCGCACCTTTCCCGCACTCGGCGCACAGGTACTCGCGGATGTTGTCGTGCACGCGCATGTGCTCCTTCAGCATGTCCTTCCGCGCGAACGACTTCCCGCACTGCTCGCAGGCGTGGCTCTTCACCCCTGCACAGCAAGCACACCAGCGCTCGGACCCGCGCACCCACATCCCCGCGCGTCCGCGGCTCCCACGGGACCCCCGCCCGGGCTCTGCGCGCGTGAGAAGGCCCACGGCCGGGCGCTACCTGTGTGGATGAGCTTGTGCCGCTCCAGGTTCCCGATGCTGTTGAAGATGCGCCCGCAGATCTCGCACGGGTGGATGTACCTGCAAGCGGGCGCGAGCCTCAGGACGCGCCGCAGCCGCTCGCGCCGGCCCCGAGCCCCTTCCTCACAAAGCGGTCGCAACAAAGCAGCCACATACAGGGCGCCAGACACACATTTAAGCCCGAACGGGCGAAACTGTGCGCCCCTCAAAGTCCAGAGGCTGGAGCCCTGACTCCCGGCCTCCAAAACGTGACTGCTTTTGGAAGCAAGGTCCCCACACAGGTCATGAGTGAAAGGTCAGGGCATCAGGTGGCCCTACTGCAGGATGACTGACGTCCTCACTGCAAGGGGGGCTGGGACACAGCTGCACGGGGGAGACCAGTGAGCACATGGAGGAGGCTGCTGAAAGAGCCAGGTGGGAAGCCCGGGGCCCTGCGCTCCCTGATCTCACACCTCGCAGTCCCCACGGCCGGTCCGGCCGCCCGAGCGGGCCACTCCGGCCTGTACACGGGGCGGCCGCTGGCTCGCTCCTGTACAGGGCACTGGCCACGGGCTCCAGCCTTCCGCGGGGCCGGCGCCCCGGGACCTAGCCACGGTGGGGAAACGGGGTGGCTCGAGTCCCGCAGGCAGGCCGAGGACCACGTGGTTACGCTGCAGCGCAGCCGACCTGTGCGGTGGGGCCGCGGGTGAGGGAGGCAGGACCCACGGCACACGGGATAAAGGAGGTGAGCCTGCTGCCCGCAGGGCCCGGGGCGGGAAGAGACAGCCCCTCCCGCCAAGCCCCTGCTGTCGCCCCAGGCCCTGGGACCCCAGCCCCGGGAGGCCTCACTTCTGCACGTTGGGGTCCGGCAGGTTCTCCCGGTGGATGACCATGTGGGCGTGGTAGGTGGCCTTCAGCGCGAAGCGGCGGTTACAGGTGCTGCAGCCGTAGCCCTTCTCCTTGTGCACCTCCATGATGTGCTTCAGGTACTCCTTCCCGCGGCCGAAGGTGAGCTGCGGACAGGGGCGCCGCTCACACCTGCGCAGGCCTCCTGCCCTCCAGCTCAGGTCACACAACCGGGCGCTGAGGCCGCGGTGACAGCCCGCCACCCACACCGGACAGAAGAGACTCCCAAGGGCAGGGCCAGTGCCAGGCAAACTGCGGGGGGGGGGGAGTGCGGGGGCCACCTGCTCTGCCCCCCAGACCCGCCCGCACCTGGGCCCTGTCCTGCTCGCCACCCACCCGACCTCCCTGATGGCACGCGCGGCGGCGGTGCAGGAACCCGCGCTAGGTAGGGAGCGAACTGCGTCTTTCCCGAGCAGTGACGCCTAAGATGGGACCCACGGTTCACTCAGCAAGGGAACGACCACGTGCCGCACAGCCTCCAGACGTGGGCCCCCCCCACCCCCAACCCGGGTCAGCCGCGCGGCTGCACACAGACCAGCCACTGGAGGCCCTGAACCCGAGGTCCGTGTGAGGAGGGGGAGCCGCGCCCAGCACCCCCGAGAACCCCCGCAGTGTATCTGCGGGAGGAGCCTCCTTCCCGCCAGCGGGGGCCCGAAGGCCCACGGCCAGTACCTGGCACCGCTTGCAGCTGTACTTGTGAGGCTCGGAGTCCGCGCTGGTGTCTGAATTGTCATCATTCTCTTCCGAGGAGATGCCGATCTTGCCGATAAACTCCTCCCTCTGGTGGTCGTCCATCAGCGCAATGTCCTGGAAAACGCAGTGGCCAGGTCCGGCTTCCCACACGGGCACAGAGGCGCTAACGGGTCCCCGGCAGCGACCCGAGCCCGCCTTCGGAGGGCGAGCGCCTGCCCAGAGCCGCGCAGCTGTGGGCCCCTCACCTGCGCCCGGCCCAGTGTGATGCTCAGGAAGCCCCGTTTCTCTGGCAGGAGAGACGTGGAGGCTCAGGGGGGGACAGACTAGCATCCCAGGTCCCGGTGAGTCTAAGTGCCCCTCACCCCCTGACTAAAGCTCCCGGACGTTCTCGGGTCCTTCCTCCCTCCCCAGCTCGGTCCATGTGGCTCAGCACCTGCACAGGGGAGCCTCTCACACTCATGCTTCACACACCTCCCCCAGCCTGCCTGTGACTCACACCTTCTCAGCGAAACCCCAACCTGTGCCCGGGGCAGGGGCTGCCAGGGAACAGATCCCGCACCGCGGGCGGCAGCCCCGAGAGCACGAGGGCTCACCATCCTCTCCGGCCCGGGCACCCCCTGCCGTTTCCGCATTTGCTGCCTGGATCAGCACTTCTGCCCCGGATGGATGCGGCAGGGGGTCACGGAAGCCCACGTGAAGAGAGGCGACGGAGCCGAGCGGACAAGTATTTAGGAGGCTGGCCGTGAGGGCCCGCCACGCCTCCGCGTGACCGCCCAGGAGAGGGTGGTGCTGGCACCTTGAAGTGGACGTGGATGTGGTCCCTGAGCACGTCCACGCGGAAGAACTTGCGGCCGCAGATCTCGCACGTGTACTTCTTGTCGCCGTGCGTCAGCAGGTGCTTGTTCATGTTGCTCCGGCAGGAGAACACCTGGGGGTGGGGGCGGCGCCTGAGTGACCACAGGAGACTGCGGTCATCTCCCCAGGACCCCTCCCCGCTCCGGGGTGCCGGGGTGACGAGCGGACTAGAGCTCGGTGGTCTACGCGCGAGCCTGCGTGATCACAGAGCCCCAGCCATGCTCCTGTCTGCACCGCCCGCGGGATCCGGCTCAATGTTACTCCCTCCCTTCACCGTGTCGCCAGGACGTGGCCCATGAAGCCAGTAAACACAGAAACAGCCGCGCTTCTCTGAAAACTGGCATCAAAGAAGAGTCCCCTCCTCCGCGGCCCGGGCTTCCGCACCGTGCCGTTTCCAGCTGTGTGACGGGGGTGGAGGCTCAGGCACTGGCCTCCCCTTGGCCGCTGCGGCACGGCGCGGTGGCCCTGTGGCCTCCGTCACATAGCTCCGGGGACAAGACAGCAGCAGAGCCCACCTGAGGGCCCCACTCGCCGGGGAGTCTCTGTCCAGACGCCAGTCCTGGGACCACAGACACCCTGAGCGCAGGCGAACTAGAGCCCGACTGGCCCCACGCGCTCCAGGAGGAGAACACGAGAGGTGAGCGAAGGGAGGCGATTCACGAGGAACAGGTGGCTACTATTTTCATGGTGACCCGGGGCCAACCACCCCGTGGCCGCAGCTCTGGGGTGCTGGGTGGGAAGCTGACTCGACAGGTGGGGAAGGCAGGCCTCCTGGGGGGGGGGGCGGGGCAGCGGGTCAAGGCAGACACGGGTAAGGACAAGAAGTGGTCGGACCCGCAAAGAATTTGGTGTTAGCAACACCTGAGCATCACCTTGCCGCACACGGGGCATCCCGAGGGCTCCTTCTTGTAGCGGACCAGGTTCTCGCCGCCGGCGTCCAGGCCCTCCCTCTTCACGCGCCGCACTCCTGGAATGCCGGCCACCCAAGCAAGAGAGTGAGTGCACGCGGTGCACACCGCCACCTGCTGTGAGGCCGGTGTGGCAAGGCCGGTGTGGCCGCCTGGGCGGCGATCGCGTGAGTGGCACCCGGCCCTGGACGCGGCCATGCAACCACGGCACCGACCGGCTTCAGGGAAGGAACGGCTGCATGTGCCCCCGGGAATCAGCGACACACTTCGTGCCTCTGAAGGACTGGGCCACGCGAGAGCAGTGTGGATGGGGAGGCTCACAGGGAAAGGGCCGCCTGGTGCTGAGGCCGGAGGCGGGCTTTCCTTCGGAGGCTCAAGGCAAAGGTCGGATTCTTAAACGTGACATTTTTTATTAAAAAGACACCAATATTTCTCCTCGCAAATTAAATCAGTTGATCAGGCAGATAATGCCCATAAGCCCCTTACGGTTTTAAGACGTAACTTCGTAACTGGGATCTAAACAGATTTTTAGAAGTTCCCACAGAATGGGTAGTCTTTGAAGAAAAGAAAGGAGTTCGCTCTCCTCGTTTCTTTCTACACAGCTAACCCATTCTGGAACATTCTCTCATCCCATGGTGTGAATGCAGGGCTGGACTTAAGAACACCCAGCGAGCTGGACGTGAATAGTCATTCTCCAGAAGGTTCCCAGAGGCATAAAACGCCTCAGATCTAAAGCAGTGGTTGGGACTTTGCTCCAGTGAAAAAGGAAAAACCATGAAACGTGTTATTCATTCCTGCAGAAAATGATCTGACTGGTGTTATCGGTTATAAAATGCGGTAAAATCAAGCCCAGGCACCCAGTGAGGGTGGCATTGACGGCGACTGGCTTTACCGGCAGGGTCTGGTTCAGCCATCCGCCGGCCTAGAGGGTCGGGCAGAAAGCCTACCCCCACTGCACAGGTGAGGAAACTGAGGCACAGTGGCTTGCCCAAGGCCATCCAGTCATTAAGTGGGCACCAGGTTTGGCTGGACAGGCCCAAGCGCGCCACCCACAGGTCACAGAGGGAAACAGACCTCGTGAAGCCATGGGAACGACAGCCAGGTGAAAAAGCGGAGTGTGAAAATTACACAGATGTGACCCGCCTTACACTTCTCACACGACTCTGCTTTCTTTTTCAGCGAACATGTACCTCATCTGCAATTCATTATAAAGTGATTCTTTTTGGACTTTCACATAGAGGTGCTCTGGTTGCTGAGTGTCACTTACTGAGGGTTGGGCAGTAAGAGACAAGGGGCTTCTAGAGGAAAAGCCAGGATCAGCACGACTGCAATGCCAATGTCAAGAGGCTCTGTCTGAGCCGGCTCCGGAACAAAGTCCGGGCATCACCCGCGGCCGGGGTGCGTCCCCATGACGGGTGCCCGTGCCTTCCCACTCAGGGCCCCTGTTGCGCCTCTCCGCGCCCGCCCTGCAGGGCCACTGCAATCCTCGCTTCCGTCCTCTCTCGCTCCCCGTCCCCCCTGTAACTGACCCCACGGCCATCCATCTTCCTCTTGCACCTGGCTTCCCGTGGATCCGCCAAACGGACAGGCAGCCCCTGGGCTCCCCCGCTCCAAACGGCCTGGGCCATGTGGGGCCCGCAGGGAGGTTGAGGAATGAGGGAGAAGCTACTTAGACCCCAGGCAACCGCTCCTGCCCAGAACATTCTGCTCCATGCACGAGGCTAAAAGCACACCCCACACACAATTTCACATGCTGTTTTTTTCCTACTCTCTGTCATACTAAAAGCATTAAATGCTTTTAACGAGCACATAGTATTTAATCCTATAAAGAATCAGTGTTTTGGGTCGCCTGGGTGGCTCACCCGGTTGAGCGTCCAACTTCAGCTCAGGTCATGATCTCACAGTACGTGGGTTCGAGCCCCACATCGGGCTCTGTGCTGACAGCTCAGAGCCTGGAGCTGCCTCGGATTCTGTGTCTCCCTCTCTCTCTGCCCCTGCTCGCGCTCTGTCTCTCTCAAAAATAAATAATCATTAAAAAAACTTTTTCTAAAAAAAGAATCAGTTTTTTTTTTTAACTCTTTCCCCGCAACGGAATGTTGAGGATGTTTGCAAGAGTTCCCGCTGACGCGTAGCCCCGTTAAGCCCCCTCGGTACCTCTCTGTGCCTGAGGACACCGACCCGTCTGACGGCGTGGCCAGACCGCATCCCGGTTGGCTGTGCCAGCAAACGCGCCGCCCGCCCCGCCGCCCCCCGTCCCAGGGGCTCCCTCGCAGGGCGGGCACTCACCTTCCAGGTGCCTGCGCTGGTGGTCGAGCATGACGTCCTTGCGGTAGAACATCTTGTTGCAGACCTCACAGGCAAACTTCTTGTCGCCGTGCTTCTTCTTGTGCTTGGAGAGGTTGCTGTTGGTGGAGAAGAATCTGAAACACAGCTCACATTGGAACGTCTTGTCATCTGCGCAGAGAGCAAGCAGACACACGGCGGCGGTTAGGTAGGTGACATCGGACGCAGGACCGCATCCCTGCACACCCAGTGTGGGAGGGGCGAGGCGGCCCCGCTGACGGGCAGGGGCGCACGAGGGCCACACGGCCGGGAAAGCCATCGTGTGAGCCCGCTGGGCCTCGCCGGGGAAGACAGACGCCAGCTCCTCTCCGTCACTGCCAGGCCACCCCTGCCCCCGACCACACGCCTCGGCCCTCACCCTCCACCCACCCTGACTGCAGCACTGACCCCAAAGCTGCGTCCCTGCTGCCCCGGGCTGAGCCCCCACCCGTCACCTGCCCCTTCTCTGCCACCTTCCCACCCCACATGCACAAATGCCCACTTTCCGCCACTATTCTCAGGACTGTCTTGTTCTAGGTGCCTCATTACCAGGCACCCCCCCGCCCCCCCCCCACACATGTGCGTGCACACACGCACCACTCCCAGGCTGGGACAAAGCAGCACAGGTGAGCCTCCCTCCCAGGCAGGTGGCCCAAATCCTGGAAGGTGCAGAACGGTCCCCGGGCTTCAGCTTTCTCTGTCCCGAGTGGCACCTGTGCTCCTAACTGCCCTCAATGGCTCCACTGTCCGGGACCAGGCTGCCCACCACAGGTGGCTCTTCCCACCGGGACACGCACGTCCCCGGTGCAGGAGTGCAAATGGGCACCTGGTCCCAATAGTAACCTTCCGCCACCGGGTCTACATTTATGTTTCAATAAAACACAGCAACTAGAGCAAACGGGGCCCCTTGGGGGTGCAGGTGCAGGGGCACGGAGTGGCGGGGCTCTGGGACGGTGGGGCGCTTGGGCGTGAACCTCTGTTCTCTAGCACCGTCTGGACGGTCAGAGGCCGCACAAGGATGGGCCCTGCTGAGCCGCGCCTGGGAAAACCCTGCCGTCTATACGTCAGCAAGCTTCTCCCCACTCGTAGAACTCCGTGGTTTGATGGGCTACAGATGACACACTCTCCTAACTTGAGTGCCGTGGGGAAGAGGAGACAGTATGCAAAGGATCCGTGACACGCGTGAGCTCGTTTCCAAGTTACTGTTTTCTCTCTCTCTTTTCTTTTATTTTTTTAAATTTTTTTTTTTAATGTTTTATTTATTTCTAGGAGAGAGATAGAGACAGCATGAGCAGGGGAGGGTCAGAGAGAGAGAGGGAG